CCTCATCTTAAACCCTGAATCCCCCAGTATTATAACGGAGTTAACAGAACTATTACTGCAACAGCGTCTCCTTACACACAGCCATCGTCATGGGGAAAAGGCAAGTAACTCTGAGTAGCTGGGTCTGACACAGCAGAAACCCAGTGTTTTTTAATTGTTTCAGTTCAAAGGGGATCATTTTAGGTGCTTTAACGCAAAGAGACAATGGCTACAATAGAGTGGGAGTAGGACTAAAGGGCCTTTTTTCATCTTGCTTCATGCTGTATGTTTGTCAACAGAGTACACGGTACTTCCTGATGGGTTCACAGACACGGATTAGAGCTGTTTGAAATACAAGCTTTCCAGGGTATGAGCTATTTTGATTTCTTTACTTTTCTTATGGCAATTACCATTTGAGACCATTTAAATATTGCCTCCACTTGCACCGGACCAGAACCAGCCCTACTGTCCTTTTCCTCTCCTAGTTGGCTACACGTGGAAGGGGAGAAAACCTTTTTCATGCATTCATGAATGTAAGCAAAAACCAAACAAGCCCTGCTCGTCCTCTGCCTGGCCTCCCATAGCCTGAGGAGGAAGCAGGACACAGGGCAAACAAAAACTGTTCAACAATCCCTCTCTTGTGAACAAGAGGCCACCGAAACAAAGGCCCAAGGCACTCCCAGCTCGTAACAAAGTTGTTCTTGGAGTTTCAGCGAATAATGCAATTAGAGAGATCTGAGTCAAAACACCTTAGCTCAAAAACTACGCACCCTGGTTCAGAGAGCGTGTACTTTCCACTTTTTTACTTAACTTGGCCACTCCCCACTTTCCAGATTACATCTCAGGATACACTCTCATCCTAAGCACCTCAGCCAAATGTCTTTGCCTCCGTATCCAAGAGCAGAGAAAGTTCTTGGCCCCTTCCACCATTCTCCCTCCTTGTGTGGTTAGTTTTTTCTCAAATCAGCTGTCACTCACACCATACTGCTCTCAACCGAGGAGGACAGCACCTTCTTACCCTGTGACAAGCAACTGCTTTCTCCTCTTTTAGATCTAAACTTAATTCCAAATTGGCACACAACCTCTCTTTACATCACCAAAACCTTCCCAGCCCACCCTTCCCTTCTGTCTTTGCCTTTACTCTGGTATTACTTTGATTTCTCAGAGGAAGGAGAGAAAGCTTTTACACTGTAATGTGTCACTGAACTACATGGTGCCCCATCCAAACACTGTTATTAATAATCTCCGTGAACACAGCTGTTTATATGAGATGCAGCATGTAACTAGTTTTTCCAGATTCTACAGGCCTGTGATCATGCTGATCTGTTCCACACGAAGGACTCCAAGTTTTATTTTTAGATGAGATGAGTTAAGCAAATGTCTATGTTTAGAACACGGAAAAATCAAGGCAGACAGATACTGGACACATATATATGAAACTGTAAAGCCCAAAAAACACTTGTAAAAATTCTGTAACTGAAGTGCTACTGAAATATCCTGGAACTCCTGCTTCACTTTCATGTCCCTATATATAGCTATAGATATATATCCCACTAATGAAATTCAATCCTAAAGGGAGCTGGCAACCAAAAGCAGTACAACAGTTTCTGACATTAAAATACAGCCCTCTTTTATACCTCTCTGTAGTTTAGAAATGAGACTTAAATTGCACTGAAGTTTTTCATAAAATGGGATCTTTTCACCTCCAGGTATTTTTGCCAGTGTTAAAACTGAACTTCAGAATTCCAGAAGGTAAAAATGCTCCCATGTGTAACTGTCATCTTCAAATTGGAAATTAAAAGATATATGAAAAAAACCCCAAACCCAGAAACTTTCACCCCATGTAGCTCACCTGTTTTCATCCATGTTTACTATCCTAATTTATATTACATGTACTAACAGGAATCCTTTCTCCAGTTTTCCAAATATTTATTAAATATCCACTCCTCAAAAGAAAAACTGTAATAAATAAAGTTCTCTTTTATTTATCTGTTCTAGGAAATTGACAGGGAAAAGAACAGAGAAACCCCCCCACACCTTGTAGTACTTGAGGCATCTCTGGTATCATTAATTTCAGCCCACCAAACCTGAACCCCATTTCTGACACGCATCTTTCTGTCTTCTGCAGTGAAGGGAAGAGGCAAAGTTCTGTCAGCTCACAGGGACTGCATACATGGCAACGATCCAAGATGAGGCTGTAAGCAGCAGCGACACGGGAACCAGCATTTTCCTTTGAACGCAAAAAGCCATTTGGGGTTGGTATCACGCTACTTTTTAAAGTGCTGGCATCTGTAGGAAAGCGATTCGAACAAATGTTACAAATAACGGCTGTAAATCTTTTGTGGCGCAGCCATGTAGCACTCACAGTGGTGTTGCTGACTTACACTGTCCAGGTACAGCCCTGACCCTCACCCAGCAACCTTAAACCCAGACACCTGTGCTCCAAGCTGACAAGCCTACGCGCGTTAACCTCTCCTAGAAAAAGGCCCACTTCCTACTGGTGGAAGTATGCTTGATATGGTAAGCGAATTAAAATTCCACTTTGGAAAGTTTTACCAAGGCTGCTTCTTTTTTCCTGAAGACACATAATCTTAATTCACAGAATGGAACGTGCAAGGCCAAAGCAGCACTGTGCCAAAGACTCCAGATATTCTAAAAGCAACTGGGCCTCAGTAAACCTGCAACATCTCTGGTTCCTTTATACCTCTGCTCTCCAAATACAAGTATGCTTTCCCTGATCAATGTGTCTTAACGATCTCCTAATAGCCAGAATAAATTAAACCAAAATCACACTGGATTTTTGTCTGGAATCAGGCTTCCTGCTGGTATCGGCAGCTGATGACAGAAGGGGACAATCCCCCGCGAGGAGCAGTTAATGATGGCTTTTACTATCTTTGCTATGTTAGGCCAGTCCTTCAGCCAGGGCTCTCACTTCTGTTTCAGCCCTTGCACAGGAGGGAATAAGGCAGCAGCGGCAAACAATTCCAACAGACATTTCATACAGGTGGAGGAGTGTTCCAAAGGGGGTCACTAGGAACATTTCCTTGAAGAGGCATGTTCATGCAAGCGCTGGCACAAGGGGCAGCCCAGCAGCACGGCTGCAGCACTGGCACAGAAGGCAGTGTAAGGAGGTTGCTAAAACTTATTTCCCACCCTTTTGAGCAAGGCAGATTCCATCTGCTGGGAATAATTCGTTGGAACTGCCATTGCCTTTGGTCAGGGCAGCACAATCCCGAAGGCAAGACAGATGCTGCAGAGCTGCTCGGAGTTGACAACAGCAACCGCTGGAGCTCAAGGAGCAGCTTCCAAGGACACTGTTCTGGGAGGGCAAGAACGATGCAAAATGTGTTTAAAGCTGTGGTTAAGATGACAAAGAGGTTTTGGGTTATAAAAAAAGACTTAGACAACTTCTGGAGTAACAGAAAGGAAGATCTGTTTGAAGACAGGTTTTCCCTGTGGAGGGGGTTGAAGACAATGTACGTTTCAAGAGAAGAGGCCCTTGCACAAACCCCTGGGAGCTAAGGGGCAAACTGTAAGCACGGCTTGCCAGACTGTTTTCTAAATTATTTATTTTTTCCTGGTAGTCACTGAATCCCCGAAATCCATTCCTCACTATTCAGTCGCCTTCACTAACATTTTTACCAGCTACTTCCTGAAGAAATAAAATCGATGACAGCTGCACTGTGACTCAACCACCCAGATGGCATATCATTTCCTGAGAGTCACTTTCTGGGAGGATTTTAAAAGTAAAAGGGAAAAAAAGAAAGAGAAAGAGGCTCCTTTGGTTTGTTTGGAGCCAGAAATCCTGAGTTCAGCCTTGGCAACAACTCCCATCAGGGCTTTCAGGAGGGCTGCATGGGATTACATTTTCAAAAGGACTTGAAAGGTTTAGGAGTACACCTCATTGTTAAAAGTAATTTAGAATAATGAGCTTAAGCATTGCTAAATGTACTCCTTCATGCCCTGGCTTGTCCAGTCCAGTGAGCCATAGGGTTCTCCCACAGCTCCTGACAGATTTAGACACAGGGGTTTGAAATCCCAGAACCCCTTTTCTAGAGCTTTCTGATGGAGCTGACTAGTCCCAACCAGGAAAAGCAGACAGGGACGTGCACCTTAGCCCATCAGGTCAGCACAAACCATCAATGGAGCCAGACTGGGAACACGAGCAGCAGCCCTTCTGCTGCTCTGGCAAAATTATGAAGCAGAGAGGAAAGGAAGCGGTACGTCCTGTGGCTGCAGTCAGATTCCTACAGGGAAGCTGGGGGGGACTTTTTACAAGAGCCTGTAGTGACAGGACAAAGGGTAATGGGTTTAAATTTAAAGCGGGGAGGTTTAGATTGGATATCAGGAAGAAGTGCTTCACAGAGAGGGTGGTGAGGCACTGGCACAGGTTGCCCAGAGAAGCTGTGGATGCCCCATCCCTGGAAGTGTTCAAGGCCAGGCTGGATGAGGCTTTGAGCAACCTGGTCTAGTGGAAGGTGTCCCTGCCCATGGCAGGGAGGTTGGAACTAGATGGTCTTTAAGGTCCCTTCCAACCCAAACCGTTCTATGGTTCTAGGAATATGCTGCGCTACACTGGTTGCCTTTTCACAATAACTGAAAAAGCTATATAAGACCTCCCCCAAGCCACTCAGCCCATGCATATGGCCCACAAATAGACTTTAGCACCAAGTTCTACCTGCTCAAGCCATTTGTTGGATCAAGACCTCACTTTTTAGCCATCCAAAGCTCCATTTAAGAGAAATTAAGGGCTGAGTAAGAAGTGAATATGGACCCTTACTTCTAGCCAGACACTAGTAATCTATAATTCCTTTGCCATTGCAATCCCAACCCACTACGCTACCTGTTGTTTGAATTTCATCTCACTACAAGTTTCCTAGGAAACATGTTTAGGATCATACATACATGAGTAAGAATGCAGCAGAAACATGTTTAGAAGCATACATACATGAGTAAGAATGCAGCCTCAGGTAAGTTTGGTTTTGGATGCTGGAATAGCACCACCCCTCAATTTGCTTAGTTTCACCAAACCTGTTACTGAAACAGATCCAGGGCTCAGGGGAAGGAACAAAACGTCTGTGCTGCAGGTTCTTCGTTCACAAGACACCTCTGTCTTTGTTCAGAAAGCCAGGGAACCTTATTACTTCTGAAAATATGTTTTCTTTTTTCTGAGCTTTAAGTGGATGGCAGTTATGACAAAACCTGTCAGGGTTGCTGCCGTGCCACAAACCAGGTAGGCAATTCCCAGGAATGGGTTACTTCCGCCGCTCCATACCACGGTTGAAAGAATCACATGTTTTCTCCCCTTGAATTTGCTAACAGGGAAATCTGATAGAAGGATGTTAAGGTTTCTCTGTTTCCAGGAGGAGAAAAAGTAGTGGCAAATGCTCAAAATCCTTTCCAAGGCATAAAGGGTTTGGATCTGTTCTGGGTCTATAAACCCAGTAGCAGCTGGTGGTAAGAAATGCAGTTACTCTAGATACAGTTTCTGTGTGAACATGAAACTAATTGTTTTTTTAATTACAAATTTCAGATTCATAATTTATGTAACTGCATTAATTTGCAATGAAAACTTGGTTGAAAATCAGCCTCTGGGGAGGCTTATCATGATGATACTCCACGCAGTTTCATTGAGGGGAAGTGCTCGCCTCTACCTAATACGCTGTCTGCCCAGAAAGTTAAATGACTTTACCTTTCACCTCTCCACATGGAAGCTTTCAGAACAGAACTGTGCTACAACATTTAAAATCATAGCTCTGTCGGCTTAGAGGGAAATTTAGTGTCATCTTGACATAACTCCTCCTGACAAAACAGCTCCTTTAGTCAGCAAAGTTCATGCTGTTCAGCATGAGGGTGCATTTTCACCAGCACAAAAGCTCCTGTCAGCACATGGCCCAAATCCGCCAGTGCTCTGCTGCCACAGGCATCCCGCACGGCTCTCAGCGGCAGGGATAGCTCTGGCGCTTCCTGCACCCCAGTGTGGGTGTCCACACACCCATGTAGGCCACTGCTAAATATTTCAGCTAAACCAACATCTTCATCTCTTCAGGTTTCCATTCTTCAGTTTTACCCTTTGTGTAAAGCTCCCGTGTGCTGTCTCCAGACAAAAGCATCCCCCTCAAAACTCAAATCCAAAGTCACATGCTGCCATTAGAGCAACATGCCTTAACTCCATCTGCATGGGCTAAAAAAAATCCGCTTGTAGTACCTCATCACCCAAACCGGATCTTTTCATGGTGATTTCCACTGGGGCGTTTTGCTTGGTTTCTTTGCCTTTCACTGTACAAATCCCATAAACTTCCACCTCATTGTAACTATCCAATGGTTAAGAAGGGTCTTAGATAATATGAAAGGATACTATAGGAAATATGAAAAGTGTAGTTTCCTGCTGGGAGACCATCCGCAAACTGCCTTATCCGGCTGACACGACGGTAAAGGTTTCGGAACGTAGCAAAGGCCGACACTCGCATCCAGATAATGAAGTCGTCGTTCACATAACCAGTGTTCCTTTCATCTTCCTCGTCTAACAGATATGCTGGTTTCTGCCAGTAAGGAGGTCTTGCTGTCCCTGGTGACAGAGAAAGAAACCAGGAAAGACGTACTGTCAGTAAAAACGGGGGTTGGTTACTAACTTCTGGGCCTACTCACAACCAACGCAGAACACAAGGCATGAAGGAGACACAAAACTCTCTCCAGTATTAAAATACTGCATACGGTAGATAACACTTTTTACCCAAGCATCTCCACCCACCTCAAAAATGACTGAACAGAGTTTAACAGTACCCAGCGGTTGCTGCACGTGAGAAACGTCAAGCACAGGAAAAACAAAGTGACTTGCACAAATGAAAATAACCGTTTATTCTGGATTCCTGCCTCATCAGCAAGCAACAGACTCTCTATAATGAGGAGCTAGCCTTCATTTTTAGACATGAATTTATTCCTGTAGGCACCTCTTCGCAGTCTAATGGCACAGCCTATGATATTTAGAGTCTGCCACACAAAAACTACTTAGGTAATTAACTCTTGCATATTGCATCCAGCACAGCAAGTTGCCTTGATCCAGAATAGGGAACCTTTAGTCCCACGTCAGTTCAGATTAACCATAACATAGGAACAGTCCTAGCAAACAGCCGCTGAAAGAACTAGTGAAGATGGCAGTTTCACTTGGCTCACAACTGCCTAAGAGGCACGAAGAAGGAAAGATGTGACAATGCAACTGCCCTTCACAGGTGCTCTCAGTAGGAAACAACGACTGTATCCTTGCTTTCTCGGTAGAGATGAAGCATTCCAATAAAGTGTATGAATGGTGTGGATGATGGCTAGTGTCAGTCTTCCAAAACAACTTTCTCCCGATTTCTATGCGTATTGGAAAAAAGAAAGTGATATTTTGGCTACATCTGGCCTCTGTTCTCAGTCACCCTCTACAGCTGCTTCTCCTGCCTCCTCTGGAAGGTGCATCTCCCAAAGGCAATTCCCGTCTCAGAATGGGAGACTCACACACACGAGGAAGGAGGGAAGCCATTAAAAATAAGGGATGCCAGTGGAACCATTCTTACCTGCAAATGCAGAGGAGAGATTGTAGGATTTTGGATTGCGAAATTTCACATTTTTATCTGTCCACCAACTGTTCCCAGTCTTCAGCAGTGGTACTTGAATAACAGATGAGTTAAGATTGTAAAAAAGATCAATAGTATCTGCAGGGAATACAAGAAGCAATATGCATGAGTGAAAGACAGTCATTCCAGTGGCCACCACGACTAACAAAAACTGACAAGTGAACGGCAACTTGTTCACTTGAACAAGTTGGGGATTGGAACTAGATGATCTTTAAGGTCCCTTCCAACCCAAACCATTCTGTGATTCTATGAAACAAAAAAAAACACGTGGGAAAAGTTTCATCATGACTGCGTACAGAGCATCGTATATTCCACAAGAATAATTAAGCTTCCAGAGCCTTAGAACTTCTGAAGTTTTAAGGAACTTCTCTGCAAGTCACTTTTGGAGCTCTCTAGCTCATTATAGAAGTTACTCTCCTAGTTAGCTTTCCTTAGAATTTCTTTGACAGCTACTCTGAACATGTTTTCAGGGACCGGGAAGAGGCGAAAGCACCATCAAGGGAATCCATGACTCTTCGGAGAAGATTTTGCTTTGGTTTTACGCTACTTAGGCCTTGTCTGCCAACTTGGACACAAATACCTCCTGAAATCCAAAAACATTTCAGTAAACATTTCAGTTAGATGATATATATGGGGAGGGGCTGCTTTTTAGCAAAGAAGCAGTACACAACTCAGCTGCATAAGTGTCAATGAAAACATACTTTCTTTTATCCTGCTACAAACCCACCGTTCATGCAGCTCTTAAAGGCTGAGACACACTTGTCTGAGCAAGTGATCATTCTGTGCCCCACCGCCTCCCCAGCTGTTTGTCACGAGTTTATTGAGCAGGAAAGGCAATCCTCTGAGCGCTGCCTGCGTAACTGCTTGTCTGACTGCCCCCTTACCGGCTAGCTTGGGATAAAAACCTTTCCCATGGCTGGAGCAGGCACCAGGAGGTTTACCCTCGGCATTTTAAAATCTCACTATCCCTAGTTCTCTGCAGAAACGTTCTGTCCTGCACCCAGGGCTCCAGAACAGCGTGGGCTGCACACAGGTATCTCTGCTGACCTATGTCTGGGCCCAGTCCAGTAAACTAGGCTTCCAGGGGAGCAGGGGGGTGCACAGGCAGATGGAAATCAAATGGATCTGCAAGTTACTGAATGGAGCTGCCCTTTACAAGGCCTTTGGTGTGGGTGGCTGAGCTGCTTAAAACCACCTGCTGCACTGCCAAAAGCTGCTGCTGGAACAGGTTACAGAAAAGGGCAGGGCAGACAAAAAGGAAGTTTTTGTCTCCTCCCAAAGAAATGCATTTGGAAATCTCCCAGTGTTTATGGCTAGGAGCCCTTAGATTTCAGCCTAAATGTGCTCGCAGACAGACCATATGCCCACTAGGTTACTACAAACAAGACCAAAGGTGGGATCAAAGTGAGTAAGACTGCTCCAGCATCCACAGAACAAAATGCCACCACACAGATCCAAAGGTCCAAACCAATGTGAAGAACGTCACCTGCTGAGCACACGTCTGTGCGAAGGCAGCATCTGGGCTCTCCCATCACTGTACAAGAACCTGGTTTTTAGCAAGGAAGTACACTACATCTGTTGCATCACTGTTCCTTATTTCACCAGGGACTCAATTCCTCAGCCCTACGGCATATTCACACCGAAGAGGGCCTTGCAAAATCTTCCTCAGTTTCAGAATGAGTGGAAAGTTACTGAACAGTAGGAAGCAGAGTGCTGTGTTCCCCACAGCAGCACCGCCAAACAAAACCTTTCGTGGCAGAAAGCTGTCATGGTATCAGGACTGTGCTGGACTGGGGTAATGGAATAGTTTCAAGTGGAAACTAGTACGGCAGATGTGGCAGGTGCCTGCTTACCATTGAACATGCTGTTGGCAATAGCACCGCAGGGAGCCATGGGAGTCCCGTTTCGGTAGGTGGTAAAGGGCGCACAGTAGCTCTTCTGAATCTGCATTCAAGGTCACAGAACAATCAGGCACGGAACCTGGGGGTTTTGGTTTGGTTTGCTAGTGATAATGTTCTCCCGTTCCTTCTTCTGAAAAGCCACCGGGTAATTAAGTCTCCAGCACCTTTTGGTCACATTAGTGGCAGATCCAAACGGACGGGTCTGTAGCTGAGGAACACCTTCCATATCGCAGGAAGTAGACCTTCACCAAATTCTGCTGCAGACTCGCAAACGTCAGACTACAAAAACTCATGTGGGGATCTGCTACTGCAACACAGCTGCAGTTTAAAATGTGCCAGCGGAGCCTCAGCTTACCCTAGAACACCTTATTTTTCCTTCTTTTTAATGCTGACCTTGACTGCGTCAGTGGTGGAGAGCAGCAGGTGCAGTTGGCCAAATTACTGCAGTTCTGCGTGGGGAAATCCTGACGTACGAAGACGCAGCATGAGAAATAAAACCCCATCTCAAATGTATCACATCTCTCCTACCCCAGTTCATGAGAAACTAGAAACCTTCAGGTTTAAACACAGAAGCATTTTCAAACAGCTCTAGTCAGATGTGTCTCCGCTTGGCACAGAAGCGATTGCACCTGGATGCAAACAAACAAGGTGACTGGGCACCTGGAGAAGCAGGTGTATGGGGAAGAGGTCTTGAGAGTTACAAGATGCATTCTGTAGAAACAACTGTAACAAGATTACTGCTGTTACAATAACCTGTAATATGATGCACAATCATATGGACTGAGAGGACAGAGTGTATGTTAAGAAATGCTACTCTTAAGCCAAAGAAAACTTAGATCTGTGAGCAAAAAAACCTGAATGCAACGATGACATTCTCCAATTTCCTTATGCAGGCTTTGCTGCAGGTGATGCTGTCTAGCCTCCTCTTCAGACCTCTAAGTTGCATACTTAGAATGCTACATGATCACTTATTTCACCATAAACCTTTTCCTGCTCCTTCTCACTTCCAAAGCCAGATGGCAAAATGGAAGACTTGGAATAACCTAATTCCCTAACCCTATAATAAAAGCACAGCTTAAAAGATTTCTGGCTGAGACAACTGCAAACACCAGAAGGAAAAGCTCTCTGTGAATTCCTTTGCAAAAGACAATGTATTTTTAATCATCATCCCTGCAAGGTGCAGGTTTGAGAGCTGCCACACTGGACTGACATCTGTTATTTATCCCCTCAATCTTTCTCTCTTATTCACTTACTAGACATAATGGCCCCAACAATCATAAAAGCAGAGACCAAACACTGAAAAACTGTACTTTCTCATTATCCCCTAGAGCCATCTTAGCACACTTACAGTTACGCCTAGTTAGCTCTCCAAATGGCCAAAGAGGCACCTGATGGAAATACACAGAATCTCAGAATATAAAGACGAAAACTTACATTTACATTTCGACCCAACAACTGCGCGTCACTTCTTGATATCACGTATCGACGGTGGTTTTGGAAGAAGTTTTGCAGGCCATAGTACATGAAAACATCACCCTAGAATTCAAGGATAAATTCCTTCAATGAGGGGAGTTCATGTAGGCAAAGAGAAATCATATTACTTGCTAGAGAAGAGCAGAGAAGAGAGTACTCAATTCATATTTAAGAGTTGGTGACGACACTCTAAGCAATTCCTTCAGCAGACACTGGCTACAATCTAGTCTTCACCCCAGCTGAAAGTTTTAGTATTTTGGCACAAAATTAAACATACTTTAAATTACCAAATGAAGCCTAAAATAAACATGCCTGGTTATTATTTTACTCAAGATGGCACAGCTGGCCATGAACCTGCAATGACTATGAATAGTTTTATGGAGACAGACATTCATTGTCCATAAAAGATGGTGCACAAAAACTTAAAAGCAGTGCCCATTAGCTCTTAATTCCTTCAGATTTTTTTGAAAAACAAGGCTGCCTCTCATCAATTATTTGAATCCTTTGGAAAGTTTGGTCCTGTAATTAAAAGGAGAACGCTAGGCAGGCAAATACAGGCAAGAAGGGGGATTATTAAACTGTAACAACCCATTATTCAGTTAAATAAACTTCTCATCTCAAATATTACTGTAATCTGAAGAAATACAGGGTAAACTAACAGCCTCTTCAATACTGAAGAACCCTGAAGTGACTTTATGATTTAAATTGCACTGGGATTTTAAGGGATCATTTACACAGCACTAAGTATTGACCTCTTTGTCGGAACACGAAGTATTTTAACAGTCTTGGCAACATGACCCAGTAGTTTAGGACAGGAAATGAAGGATACTTTTTCCCCAAATGAAACTGCAGAATGACACTGCTACACTTGAATTATTTCAAGGACCTTGGGGATTAGCAGCATAACCCTCATAAAAAAGGACTACGGGGGTTTACTTATGACAAGTGGTCAGAGCTTCGGATTTCCTTCTCATTTGAGAGCTTAGCAGTGCCGTAACAACTAACCCCAGAGCAAGGGTTTGCTACTGACTCAGAGAGAGAGAGGTCACCTCCACAATCGAACACCATTTCCTCCATCCCCCTCTTCTCCTTGGACATCTCCCAACCAAGGACAGAGGTAGCCCGATCTTGATTATTTTAACACGTACCAAAATGAATAACAAAGGCAAAAGTGTAAAATATGGGGTATTTCATGTTTTTAAAAAGCACAAAGACAATTTAGTCAGGAGCTCTACAGAGCAGAACTAGTGTATTTTATCATCCAGGGATACACCTAACAGGGTACTAAGCAACTTGAGTGGGTTTCTCACATCCACTTACCAATATATCTTCCTTTAGTGTGAAATCCACGGAACAGTGGCATTCTTTATTCCAATTAGAGGAATTCTCACGGAGTTTTGAACAATCTGAGCATCTATCTGAATAATCAATCTGTCAGAGAAGTGACCAAGCAGAGATCTTGTAATAAAGGACATGCACATAGGAAAGAAACATTTAAGTGTTTCAGCTCCCAGACTTCTCAGGGAGCTCTCTTCTGAGTGGCTCTGGCCTGCCAAAAACACTGTAAAAAATCAACAGAGGCAGAGAATCGGGACTTGGCCCCAGTGAACATTCAGGAATTTTATCCCTAGTTTAAAGCTGTTTCAGAGCCTTTTGATGACTGTTGCAGAACCTCCACATCTGCTCCTCGGCAAAGGAGTGCTGAGTGAAGAACACTTCTGCAGCTCAGCCTGGCTGACCAAGTATTGCTTGACAAATCCCCACATCACAGGCATTACGGCCCAGCCCTCCCGGACAGCCTGGAGGTAGTGCTGAGCGTTGGCTCCAACAGGGAGCCTGTGAACACCACCACAGGGCTAACCAACCTTGCCTCCAGGAGCCAGTCAAACATCACGGCTCCCTGTATTCCAGGATTCTGCCCCAGCAAACGTGCGTGTTCTAGAACCAAACACTGTCAAAAGGATGTTTATTTCCCTTCAAAACCCCAGGAAATGACGGCAACATCTCAGATGTTACTGGCCTGTGGCCGTAATTACCACACGTGTCAGACACTGCCACCCAGTTAACCACCCAGTGCTCGGATTGTATCGGTGACCAGCTATCCCTGAGGGTTTTCACAGGAATACAGTGGCTGTATGCACAAGGCATGAAGCCATTGCTATCATCTTTATCCAGAAGCAAAAATTCCAAGCGTTTGCCCTCCCAACGTAGCCCTGTTTCTTCTATACAGAATATCTAGGAACGCCAGCCCCAGACCCACCTGGATTTCTCTGACGCTGTTTGCAGACAGTATGAGGCAGACTCCCACCAAGAGGCAGAACATGCCGGTGAGGAAGAAGCTGGAGAGCACCGTCGCAATGGTGAGCTGGGGCTTCCAAGCGGGTAGCTTCTGTTGTTTGAATGCGCTGTTATCCGGACACCTGGAAGGACGCGCCTCTCCTCCTTGTGGAGGAGAACTTGCCTTGTTTTTCATTTTCTTCTCAGTGTGAGCAAGGAAAAATATACTTGTGCTGGAGAGAGTTTAGGCTGAGATACTGTTGGGAGACTGTATTGTTTGTTCAAACCTGCATTATGGCCCAGAATTACTTATTAACTAGAGCGCTCTCTTCCTCATTTCCTACGTTTGTACCTGGATCCCCACGATCAGCTTGTACCAATTAAACGTTTGTGTACTTTGGTCAGGATGTCTAGCTCACGCCCCCAGGAAAAGCTTAAATATATGCTTCCCGCTGCCCCACAATTCAGTAGGATTTGTTATGTCTTACTCATGTGCAGGGATACTGCCAGCAATAGCGAAATTGTAAAAAGGTTCCATGTTCTTTACCACAAAAGGGCAAGTCATTCTCCAAATATCTGATTTGGATCAATGGCTTTCCAAGATGCTGATCATTTGCTCACCTCTGTTCATCTCGTCCTTTGAAAACAAGCCACCCATTCCCTACTATCCACAATGACAAAAGAATCACGTAGACATCATCTCCTTTTAATTTAAATGGACAAACAAAAGAATATGTTTTGCACACTTTAACAGTTTAACCAAAATAAAGTCTCAATATAATAAACAGGTAATGTATCATGTAATAGCAAAAAATAGCATTTGGCCAGCTCTAGAAGAGCTGGGTAAAAAATACCTTTTTGACAAATTACTGAAATTCATACAACTTTTGCAAAGATCTTCCAGGGCAAGAACCAGAGTACCATCCTCATGGGAGAAGCAAACGTCTCCTTTGGGACAGCAGAGGGAGATAAGAGAGAACTAAGTTGTACTAAGACTTTCAAACCCGAGCTGTATAAAAACTTTCACACCCAAGTTTTCTCATCTTCAAGTCTTAAAAATGACATACAGTAGTAAATCAAGCAGGTGAATGCAATGTAATTCTAATGTCAGTGCCACATTATTCCTGCAATAAAAGTAATACTAAAACTACAAACAAAACTTCTGTTTTATTATTAAAAGAAAAGGAAACTCAGGAAAAAAAAAGTTGCAGTGTGCATTCTTTCTGTACTGACAGACCTGTGAGAAGTCAAAATTCTCCATTCCATCGCCTGTTAAGCACTTGCCGATTACAGACAGGATAATAGCAAAATGCAGCTGCTAATTAGTTCCTTGGTGGTAAAAACATTAAAAGAGTCCCAGCTTCACAGATCCCTCTCTGCACAGCTTTATAACACTCATCTCTAGTAGGTCAATTGTTTCTTTCTTTATCTGAAGAAAACAAAAATCACAGAAAGCATCAAAAGTTACTGATAACGCTTTGGGTAAATAGCATTATTTATTTAGTCAGCCACCTTACAACAGGACCAAGAAATTAAAGAAGAGGTTCTCATACAAGGTCCTGAGCCCTAGAATGTTTCCATTTTGTAAAATATCTAGCATTTGCTCTGCAATCCTAAAGGACAACTACGGCTTGTGAAACCCCATCTACCATGGCTACAGAAAAGCTGCTGTTGGTAGGGAGTTGATAAAGGATGCCACAGCAAGAGGTCTGTCCTGGGCTGCAAAATCCCTACGGGGCGTTCCAGAGTATCAACTGGCATCCAGCAGTGCAAGGGCAGAACTGCACTGCTGCAGCCGCAACAGTGCGTGTGTCTGAGACCCCGGAACGAAAGTGAACGTGAAGGTCAGGTCTGCACGTGCTGCGTGCAAAGTCCTTTAGTTTACAACAGAGATATGGCTGTAGCTTATTGCTTATCTAAAGATAACAGACAAATGTATATGAGACTAAATACTGACTGAATGCAAGATTCTCTATCATCAGGGTTAGTGCAGAGTCTCCTTACAGCTCCCTCTTCCCACTTAGGAATAACTTATTTGCAAGTTTTCTCTCAAGATTATATCCTCCTGTGCCTCCACTTTGCACAGGAATAAATGATGTGAGAAAGCCTGAGCAACCTTTGTTGCACACTGGATGTGCTACGTGGGGTGAAAACAGTTGTCTTTCTATCACAAGCTCATTTCTCACTTTCGTGAGGCCTGAAACAGCAACTTTCTGTATTTTCAAACTTCCTCAAGGCTTGGTGTCTGTACTGCTTGCAGGTGACAAAGTATTGCTTTTTGCTGAAAAACCTCCATTTGAATCTTACAAACAAGTGATCTGAGGAATTGCGACAGTTCTGCATTGCCATCAACCTCTACACACAAAGCTTTCAAAGCAGGAAGCCTGTCAGAGCAGAAAGTGTACAATCAGTTTTTATTTAAACCTTTATGCTTTAGTGGAACTCCAGTGTGCCAAGCCAGAGTCTGATAAAGTCACTGGTCCCTGGTTTCTTGGTGAGAGACCGAGAAACAAAGGGAAAAAAATCCAACAGCAGTGGAACTCCAGTGTGCCAAGCCAGAGTCTGATAAAGTCACTGGTCCCTGGTTTCTTGGTGAGCTTTCTTTTTATTTCGTTCTCCTCATTGTTTGGGATGAATGAAGCAGGAGACCGAGAAACAAAGGGAAAAAATTCCAACAGCATTAACAGTTGAGTCAACTGTGAGAGCAGTGGATGAGGCCACCATCCATTATGTGGATGCGATGGGATACAGGACTGTCACGGGAGAAGATTCATGTGTTTTTAAGTTCACACATTTACCAGAATATACCATGGTGTACATAATTCTCACCCCAGGCGAGTACAAAACCAGCATGTAGAATAGCCACGTGCTTCCAGCTGCTCCTGCTTTCTAGTGTAATTACAATGAAATTTAGCAATGCAGCCCCTTAAATATGCAAAGAAATTACTGACAATTGAGTTTTGAACTGAGAATAGGTCAGTATGGCATGTTTCTAGTTTTAAGGGTATAATTCTGCCACCACAACTAATACGGGATGAAAGAAATCAGTACATCAAGCTGCCAATTCTCTATTCTTTTGGTACTATAGTTCCTATCTCCTTTGAGAAAACTTACAACTGTTCATCGCATGTATTTGACAATTTTTACACAAGTAGAGGGGTAATACCCTCTGCTTACCAAGACCGTATTCCATATTGCAAGTCTGCAAGTTGCCAAAACATCCCATTGGTTTCTACTGTGCCGAGATGCCTTACCTCCAAAACATTATTTGGGTATCTTTTATTGTGGACATTCTGTATAAATAACTTTCAGGAATCTGTTTGATGCCTGCGGCAGAACAAAGAGCTGCAAGATGCCCCAGTTACATAGTTTAAGATGTCAAAAACCCTTCTGTATGTTGTGTTACCCGAGTCAAGTGCAGGCTTGAAGACTTTTCTGTAATCCCACATCCACCACACATAAGCATCTATTCCTTGTGTTAACACTATATAAGAGGGTGTAACATTCTTTCTTGCTTGGTTTTAGCCTAAATTAAGCCTTAGCATTTTGATAAGACAGCCTTAAGATTTCGCCTTAATAAGGTGCATCTGGACTCACCAGTTTTGGCTTGTATTCCAAGGCAGA